CAGCCAATTTCACGACAGCAATTTAAGTAAAAAATTATTTTAATTTTTTGAATTTTATATGGAAATTGACAGAAAAGACGAAATCATTTTCCATTTCAATTGCTGGTGAAACCGGCGGTTAAATTGCATGCTAAAAAATGCCATTTAAAAAGTACTTTACTTCCAAGCTAAAATAATATTTATAGGAGATCAGATTTTTATTGATTTTCAAAATTTTAATATTAAAGTTGCAGCCCGCTTTGGTTGAACAAACTCTGAATTGTGTGGAGAACTACAATTGGCGACTATAGCGTTATTTTTGTAAAGCTGAGTTGAAATACAGTTTTGGAAAGCTAATCATGTTTACTTTTTGTTTTTAGAACTTAAAACACTAAACGATTCGTAACCTTTTGGGTTTCATTAAGAGTTTTCGGGACTTATTTCAGAACTTTCAACACTTTTTGTATATTTTCCGGAACCCCCTGTGGGTTCTCGCGACACTTTGTGATTTGTTCGGAATTTTTCTAGAACTCTTCAGGGTCTCTCGGGGGTGGCGGGATTTTTTCTAGACTTTTTGTTACGTCTGCCGGTTTTTCGAGACACTTTGTGCCTTGTTCGACATTTTTCAACTTTTCGCTGCCTTTTGGGATTTTGGGAATTTTGTTTTTAGACTTTGTTCGGGGTTTCTCTAGGATTTTGCGGTTTTTTTCTGAACTTTTCGTGACCTTGCGAGTTTTCGTGACTTTTTGTATGTTATTCAAGATTTTTCTAGGCTTTTAGAGATATTCGTGAGTTTTTCTCCATCACTTTTCGGTCATCTTAAAGGATTTTGGCAGTTTCGGTTCTTTTCTGGGCTCTTCGGGTTCTATCGCGATTCTTCGTGACTTTTTTCTTTTCATTTGTGATTTTAGAGGCTTGTTAGTGATTTTTTGAAACTTTTCGCGATCTTTCGGGGTTTTTTGTATTTGTTTCTAGATTTTTTTTTCAGAAATTTATGTCATATTTATGACTTTTCTAGTTTTATTCGTGATTTTTCCATGTTATTGAGTTTTTTTGTGGAGATTTGTCCCACACTTTTTGTAGCTTCGCGGGGGTTTCGCGACCTTTTAAGTTTTGTTTCAGACTTTTCTTGGTTTTTCGCGATGTTTTCAGAACTTTGCAAAACAATTTCCGAGTTTTCGGACGTTTCTTGGGACCATTCGGGATATATTTGAGTTTGTTGAGAATTTCCGTGACTTCGAGTTTTATTCGGCACTGTTTGAGATTTTCTTGAGTATTTTCCTCAAACTTTTTAGTATCGAACGGAACCTTAGATTTTTTCGAGACTTTTCAGAACCTCCTAGGAATTTTAGTGACTTTTGTGCTCAATAAGATTTATCGGATTTTGTCGGGGCTTTTCGAGATTTTCTCGGAGCTTTTTCGGAGTTAAAGGCTGTTTAGAAATTTGTGTTTTTTTGCGATTTTATGGGCACTCTATTCTGAAGTTTTCGAGACAGTTCTGTTCGCATGTAGTGACAAGACCTGCCAAAATTAGTGTCATTATCAAATCGCTCAAAAATATGCCGCATAATCTAGACTTCTGGCGCTTAGAAAATGCATAAAAAGATATTCTTCTCTCTTCATCCCCCTCACTCTCTTTTTCACGAAAGCATAACTCATCAACCCCAAGTTCGCATGAATTTCTAGTATTACTGCTTGTATTTATTATTACAGCGAGCTCTATATAGTCGCTGCTCCTCACTGAGACGCCGTTAAAGTCCTCTTTTTTTCTTATCGAATTTCTCCACTTTTCAATTTCATTGCATTATCCAATAACTACAACTAACACGTTCAAATGCATACAAAGCACGCTGCGAACTTAATTCAATTTGTGGTAATAAAAATTCGAAGAATACACACATTCACAGAGTTACATGCAGTGCATACCGCAAAGGCACTCCCATGGCCCCGGCCAACGAGAAGTGCGAACTCACAAGTGCAATAATAAAATACCGCTATAAATGGTCTACATTTATGATTTTTTCATTTATTCGCTGCTTCAATAGCTTTTCAATATTTTCAATTTACACCAAATTCACATTTTAACACTCCAAATATGAAACGCAGAAACGTTTGCAAGCTTTATAACCCGCTTCTTGAAACAGCTTTATGCCCTTTATGCAATGCGTTTAAGGCAGTTGGGTCTTTTCATACGTTTTCTCACCTTCCAATCTACCACACAGTTAATATTACTGCCTTACCATTCAGCATTTTGTTCCTTCCTTCATTGTTGTTGTATATACCAAAGTCGGCTATGAATGTTGGCCTTTGTATTTTACAGTTGTTAAAAGCACGTGTGAAAGGCGTAAAATGTTATTAACAATGCATAAAAGTGTCTGACGGTGTTGTATTGGTTGCGGCGAATTAAAATATATGCCTTTGTATGGGAACATTAAATTTAATAATTGTTTGAATGAAGTAAATTTGTTTTTTAAATCTGCAGTTCAGTGAGTATTTTAATCTGTTAAATGACTGTTGGTTCTTCCAAGCTGTCAAGTTGGCATCGCTGGGCCATGTCAAGTCACTCTTTGTTGCATTCCCGCACACAGAAATATCGAAGGAAACGAGGCAGCTGTAGACATTGTAGGTAAGGCTGCCCAATCCGCTCTGCTTTCAGGCTAAAAGCACTATTTTTTCCCTTAACCCGGCTTACGAACACACGGCGATCTGTGAAAACTTCGACTTTACACCTAATGAAACGGACCCAATCCGATTAAATTCTTCCCTACCTACACACATCCTTTTAAGTGGAGAATAGCTGCATTACAGTCTCTGGAAGAGCTGTTCATAGAAAATATTCACGGATAAGTCGAAGTTGGAAGGTAGAGTTGGAAGACATCTTGCAGCATCCTGTGGTTTGCTTCTGTATAGATGGGCTTTTAGTCGGCTTAGTGAGCATTGGGCTGAAACCTCAACACGCTAAATTCGAAAGTTCTTCTGGTCGGTAGTCGACAGCAGGTGGTCAAATAAGTCTTTCTAACTGACAAAGCACTAACTCTTGGAGCTCTGACCGAGCACTTTCCAATACGAACCCATACGTAGTTGTTTGTTCGTTGGTGCCTTAGAATCATCTCACCATCTCCTCAGCTGCCCTAAATACTTTCGTACAACTATTGTTGAATAAATCGGCTCGCATGCCATTAATACTACCGTGGAAATTTCTGAAGTAGTCCACAGCCTCCAAAAGAACTTTATTTTGAGCACTCAGAGCTTTAGTGAGATGCAGATTACTTGCAGTTAGCGTTTCAAGAAAACCTATTTAGTGGTAACGTGATGGACAATACAAGAATAACCTTAGGGAGACACTCGCAGGTCTATTACCTGTTGAGGAATGTAATGTGAGATCTATTGTGCCTTCTTGCTCCTCACCGCATATCCGCCAGTCCTAGCACCCTTCGGAAATTCAGCAGATTTTTATGTGACATAGTGATGATTTGGCTGGTTTAGCGACCCGAGGTATTTTTCATTTGGTCTGCGGTTTTATTGGTATTGTGCGGGGTCGAGGCCTATTGGTGTTGTTGCTGTCGCCTCCCTGGCGAGCCTGTCTGCTTCTTAATTTCCCTCTAAGTCTTTGTGGCCTGGGACCCATAGAAGGAAGGAAGATCCTGTTGTACACTGCTAAGGCATTCAGTCTCTCTACGCAATCGAGAACCAGTGCTGACTTGATTTCATAGGAATGAAGAGCCTTGAGTGCGGTTTGGCTTTCAGGATATTTTCACTGCAAAATCTTCGCTGAAGGTTAATCGCTATACACAGACTGTTGGTCAGCTCCAATGCCCTCTGGTGTTTTTGAGCCGTCTGTGTACTAAATTAGACGGTGCAGCTGGGAGTATTTTTGGATGTTAGTATCAGTCTAGCTTGCTTTATTCCCTAATTCTGTTTTAAAGTTCCTTTCGAAGCTAATAACTCTGCCGACATCATCTCGTGGGAATCCTCTACCCCACCGTTCTCTGGTGCAGTTTGTTAGAGTTTATTTTGCTACCTCCTCCATGCTAATGAAATAATTTCTTGACGTATTTGCATTCGAATGGAAGTCTTATTTCATTGTGTTCCAATCATTATTGCTGTAAGAACCTTCTATGGTACTTGAGATGCCTAAAACTCGAAAAGAGCTGAGGTTAGAAGGATCGCAGCCATATTTTCTTCTTCATTTAACATTAGTCGTACGTGGTTGGAGTCGTAAGGCGACTGCCTTTTCCAGCACTCGTTATCAAACATATACATATTTACATTTAGTTTTCTTCCTTTTCGCCTTCTTTACATTTCTTTATCCATCCTTTGTCCACAGCCCTCGCGCAACGCTTCAAAATTCATTAGCGTAAAACTGTCGAAACCACACCCACTGCACTAGATGCGCATCATTTTCGCCTTAAATTGTGCAACATTTAGCGTGATAAGCGAGTGCTCTTGGATCATTATGCTCACTCTCTCCCCAGCTGTACTCACCATTCACTTACGAGCCTCACAACCATCACTATGGTGGACACTCAAAGCATTATGATATTGTTTTGTGCAAAAGACTTTGGAGGGTTGAATTTTTTCAATGAAATTTGTTCCCCTCTACGCGTAACTTATGTAGGCTCATTAGCCTTTCTCACTTAACGCTTATCGCTTTAGTTTGCTGTTGGCTGCTTTTATTTCACTGCCACTTTTCTTGACCTTTTGACATTTTTTGCTTTGTATTGCGGGCCCTTAACGGAAAGTGTCATTTTCAAAAGGAAACACACTCGTTTCGACCCCCACTCACCTAACGCAGTCTTGTCATTAGCGCCGACACTCGACAATGTTAAAGCGTGCTAAAAATTTATGAGTGCAACCCAGTCTTTCGACCTTTGTCGTAAATCAGATAATACTCCTAGATGGAATGCTGATAAGAAGGTTAACAAAAGTATTTCAACTGAAAATGTCGCTAAAGTCAAATGAAAAAGTTTCTCTTTGATAATTTATTCGTTAATTTGAGCATGGCTACTTTAGTTGTACAATTAAGCTGGTGTACAGCTATTTGAAAAAAGGCAATTCATAACCGCGCCAATCAGCCAACCAATTGACATAGTTAACGTCCAGATCTTCGCTGAATACCTCAACGCATTTCCATAGCTACGGTTACATTTCCCCTCCAAGCACACTTGGCAGCCTTCTAAAGCCTCTGCGCCGTACTTGTCTGCCAATAGAGCACAAGCGTTCTGTTCCGGTCGCATTGCCACACAACCTTTGTTGATTTGCACCTTATTTTTGCCTGGAAATTATCAAAAAATAGATTTAATAAAAATCGTTGAAAAACAAAGCAAGCCTTACCTTTGACGCGCACGCTGTAACATTTATAAGTTATGTTTCCCATCTTCATTCTTGCTAGGTCTCCTATTTTGTTATATTTGTGTTGTAAAAGCTGCCTTGAGCTTCGTCTCAATGAATTTTCATGCGTTGGTCTAATTACTCTCTCATCGTTAGATCCTTCAACTAATATAACGTTCTCGCCAGTAAGTCCTGTAGTCGGTGAAGCATTTTGGTAGGGAGCATTTGCCGAACTAAGATCAGAAGTTTCGGCCAGTCCCGGAATATTGGTCTCGTTAGAAGCGCTGATTAATGAACTTTGATTCGTAAGTCCAACGAAATCGTTAGATCCTTCCACCACTGTTAAGTTCCCTGTTTGCTGTGTAGCGTTAGGTCTTCCGGGGGTTGTAGTATTGAGTCCAGTGATTCCTAGAGTCAGTGCAGGATATTGGTCGGAGGTTGTAGTATTGATCGAATTTAGATTATAAGTCTCGTTAGAAGCGTTGAATACTGAACTTTCATTTGTAAGTCCAACGAAATCGTTAGATTCTTCCACCAATGTTATGTTCCCACTAGCAATTCCTGTTTGCTGTGTAGCGTTGGGTCTTCCGGGGGTTGTAATATTGAGTCTAGTGATTCCTGTGGTCGGTGCAGCATTTGCGTAGGGAATATTTGCCGAACTTAGATCAGCAGTTTCTGACAGCCCCGGAATATTGGCCTCGTTAGAAGCGCTGATTAATGAACTTTGATTCGCAGGTGCAACGAAATCGTTAGATCCTTCCACCACTGTTGAGTTCCCTGTTTGCTGTGCAGCGTTCGGTCTTCCGGGAGTTGAAGTATTAAGTCCAGTGATTCCTGTAGTCAGTGCATGATATTGGCCGGAGGTTGTAATATTGACCGAATTTAGATTAGCAGTTCCTACCAGTCCCAGAATATAGGTCTCGTTAGAAGCGCTGAATACTGAACTTTCATTCGTAAGCCCAACGAAATCGTTAGATTCTTCCCCCAATATAGTGGTTCCACTAGTGAGTCCTATTTGCTGTGTAGCGTTTGGACTTCCTAGGGTTGTACTAGTATTGAGTACAGTGATTCCTGTAGTCGGTGCAGGATACTGTTCGGAGGTTGTAGTATTGACCGAACTTAGATCAGGAGTTTCTACCAGTCCCAGAAAATTAGTCTCGTTAGAAGCGTTAAATACTGAATTTTGATTTATGAGTCCTGTTTGCTGGATAGCGCTTGGTCTCTCGGGAGTTGTAGTATTGAGTGCAGTGAGTCCTGTAGTGGGTGCCGAACTTAGGTCAGCAGTTTCTGCCAGTCCCAGAATATTGGTCTCGTTAGAAACGTTGATTTCTGAACTTTGATTCGTAAGTCCAACGAAATCGTTAGATCCTTCCACCAATGAAGTGGTCCCACTAGTGAGTCCTATTTGCTGTGTAGCGTTTGGACTTCCTAGGATTGTACTAGTATTAAGTCCACTGATTCCTGTAGTCGGTACGGCATTTTCGTAGTAAGTATTTGCCGAACTTAGATCAGCAGATTCTGCCAGTCCTGGAATATTGGTCTCGCCAGAAGCGCTGATTAAAGAGCTTTGATTCGTAAGTCCAACGAAATCGTCAACTCCTTCCACGATGGTTGTGTTCCCACTAGTGGGCCCTATTTGCTCTGTAGCATTTGGTGTTCCGGGAGTTGTAGTATTAAGCCCAGTGATTCCTGTAGTCGGTGCAGGATATTGGTCGGAGGTTGTAGTATTGACCGAGCTTAGATCAGCAGTTTCTACAAATCCCAGAAAATTACTCTCTTCAGAAGCGTTGATTGCTGAACTTTGATTCGTAAGTCCAACGAAGTCGTTAGATCCTTCCACCAATGTAGTGTTCCCACTAGCGGGCCCTATTTGTTGTGTAGCATTTAGTCTTCCGGGAGTTGTAGTATTAAGCCCCTTGAGTCCTGTAGTGGGTGCCGAACTTAGATCAGCAGTTTCTGTCAGCCCCAGCATATTGGTCCCGTTAGATGCATTGATTACTGAGCTTTGATTCGTAAGTCCAACAAAATCGTTAGATCCTCCCATCAATGTAGTGTTCCCACTAGTGAGTCCTATTTGCTGTGTAGCGTTTGAGCCTCCTAGGGTTGTACTAGTATTGAGTCCAATGACTTCAGTAGGCGGTACAGCATTTTCGTAGGAAGTATTTTCCGAACTTAGATCAGCAGTTTCTGCCAGTCCCGGAATATTGGTCTCGTTAGAAGCGCTGATTAAAGAACTTTGATTCGTAAGTCCAACGAAATCGTTAGATCCTTCCACCAATGTAGTGTTCCCACTAGGGACCCCTATTTGCTCTGTAGAATTTGGTCTTCCGGGAGCTGTAGTATTAAGCCCCGTGATTCCTGTAGTCGGTACCGGATATTGGTCGGAGGTTGTAGTATTGACCGAACTTAAATTAGCAGTTTCTACCATTCCTAGCATATTGGTCTCGTTGGAAGCGTTGAATACTGAACTTTGATTCGTGAGACCAACGAAATTGTAAGATCCTTCTGTGTATGCTGTGTTTTCGCCAGTGAGCACTGTTTGTGCTGTAGCATTCGGCCTTTCGTTGGTTGTAATATTGCTTAAAGTTGCACCTGCCAGTATCAGTCCGTTGGTTGCATTCAAATTAAGATTTTGCGCTTGCGTGACTGTTAAGTTGGACAGACTTTCTCCGACAGTTCCTATTAGACCCAGCTCATTTGTTATAGACGCATTGCCTGTATTAGTCAAATTGACCCAAGTGGTGTGATCACTTTCTGTTACAGCGATTGTGGCTTGTGTTATATTTTCTGAAGTAGGTCGCGTTGCTGCTGCTGCTGATGTTGCGGTTTGAAGTGGCGTTACAACAGTAGTGATGTCTTCAGTTGCAAATTGCTCTAAATCTAGAGTGATATCTGGAGAGTTGAATCCTTGGGACGTTGTGCCTAGCGCTGCCTCCGCGGTTGGTGCCAGTGAGCCTATTTCAATTCCCTGTGCAATTTCTGGCATCAACTGCGCTATTGTCGGAATATCCTCCAGCGGTGGACAGTATTCGAAGTGTCCTTCATTCTCCTCGCAATCTTCGCAAACATAACATTCAAGGTAATCAGCAGAGGCTGTGAAAATAGAAGGAAAACATTTTAAAAGTTTATTGGGCCTGTCCTCGTTGAGTTTGGATCGAAAAAATTACTTAAAACTTGAGTAGGTGTGGCGAAGAATTGAAATATTACATTAGTGACAGAGTAAAAACCTTTACGGTGTTGCCGCGTACATACCAGAGTAAATTTGAATATTTGTAAATAAGAATCAGGGTGCTATTGCATCTTAGACTCGATCTAAGCTTAATTCAGCTGAAAATAATCTAAGTTGCTCTAGTCAACTTTAATCTAAACCAAAAAGATAAATATTTAATGCCAGCGAGTTTGTAGTACGGAGCCACACAGAAAACTCTGAATATGTAGAGGGTTAAGATGATTGGTAATCATTTTTCGGGAACTAGCTGAAGTCGACCAGTATACCCAGTACCCTTGTAGTACTTCCTCGATGTAAAAGAAAGAATCAAAAGAAATATTTTCTTATGGCGATAGCGAAGACAAAACGACAAGGGAAAAAATAACGACACATGATATCGATAATAATAAAAGATATCGTTAAAGATAAAATATCGATAACGATAAAAGTATCGATAAGGATAACAGTGCCGATATAAATAAATGTCAGCAAAAAATAATGATATAGACGACATGAAAAGTACCGCAAACGATAACAATATATATTACCATAATAAATTAAAAATTGATCATGTGTAAAATATCGATCATGATAAAAATATCTATAATGATAAAAACAATACCGAAATGACAGAAACAATTGCTAGCGATGTCAGTATCGATAACGTTGAAAATATCAGTGACGGCAGCAATGTCTATAATGATAAAAAAATATAAAAATAACGATAACAAATAATTATAAAACTAATGATAACAATAAATTATGCCGATAGTGAAAACAATATTAGTAGATAATGATGGAAAACAATGCCGACGCGATAAAACAATAATGATAGTGATAACAATATCGACAAAGTTGAAAATATCGTAAATGAAAATAATGTATGTTGAAAATAAATAATATCGATAATTAAAAAAAAAATTGTCAGCGAAAAATTGAGACGGTGCAGCTGGGAGTATTTTTGGATGTTAGTATCAGTCTAGCTTGCTTTATTCCCTAATTCTGTTTTAAAGTTCCTTTCGAAGCTAATAACTCTGCCGACATCATCTCGTGGGAATCCTCTACCCCACCGTTCTCTGGTGAAGTTTGTTAGAGTTTATTTTGCTGCCTCCTCCATGCTAATGAAATAATTTCTTGACGTATTTGCATTCGATTGGAAGTCTTATTTCATTGTGTTCCAATCATTATTGCTGTAAGAACCTTCTATGGTACTTGAGATGCCTAAAACTCGAAAAGAGCTGAGGTTAGAAGGATCGCAGCCATATTTTCTTCTTCATTTAACATTAGTCGTACGTGGTTGGAGTCGTAAGGCGACTGCCTTTTCCAGCACTCGTTATCAAACATATACATATTTACATTTAGTTTTCTTCCTTTTCGCCTTCTTTACATTTCTTTATCCATCCTTTGTCCACAGCCCTCGTGCAACGCTTCAAAATTCATTAGCGTAAAACTGTCGAAACCACACCCACTGCACTAGATGCGCATCATTTTCGCCTTAAATTGTGCAACATTTAGCGTGATAAGCGAGTGCTCTTGGATCATTATGCTCACTCTCTCCCCAGCTGTACTCACCATTCACTTACGAGCCTCACAACCATTACTATGGTGGACACTCAAAGCATTATGATATTGTTTTGTGCAAAAGACTTTGGAGGGTTGAATTTTTTCAATGAAATTTGTTCCCCTCTACGCGTAACTTATGTAGGCTCATTAGCCTTTCTCACTTAACGCTTATCGCTTTAGATTTCTGTTGGCTGCTTTTATTTCACTGCCACTTTTCTTGACCTTTTGACATTTTTTGCTTTGTATTGCTGGCCCTTAACGGAAAGTGTCATTTTCAAAAGGAAACACACTCGTTTCGACCCCCACTCACCTAACGCAGTCTTGTCATTAGCGCCGACACTCGACAATGTTAAAGCGTGCTAAAAATTTATGAGTGCAACCCAGTCTTTCGACCTTTGTCGTAAATCAGATAATACTCCTAGATGGAATGCTGATAAGAAGGTTAACAAAAGTATTTCAACTGAAAATGTCGCTAAAGTCAAATGAAAAAGTTTCTCTTTGATAATTTATTCGTTAATTTGAGCATGGCTACTTTAGTTGTACAATTAAGCTGGTGTACAGCTATTTGAAAAAAGGCAATTCATAACCGCGCCAATCAGCCAACCAATTAACATAGTTAACGTCCAGATCTTCGCTGAATACCTCAACGCATTTCCATAGCTACGGTTACATTTCCCCTCCAAGCACACTTGGCAGCCTTCTAAAGCCTCTGCGCCGTACTTGTCTGCCAATAGAGCACAAGCGTTCTGTTCCGGTCGCATTGCCACACAACCTTTGTTGATTTGCACCTTATTTTTGCCTGGAAATGATCAAAAAATAGATTTAATAAAAATCGTTGAAAAACAAAGCAAGCCTTACCTTTGACGCGCACGCTGTAACATTTATAAGTTATGTTTCCCATCTTCATTCTTGCTAGGTCTCCTATTTTGTTATATTTGTGTTGTAAAAGCTGCCTTGAGCTTCGTCTCAATGAATTTTCATGCGTTGGTCTAATTACTCTCTCATCGTTAGATCCTTCAACTAATATAACGTTCTCGCCAGTAAGTCCTTGTAAAATGGTGGCTGCGATGATAGAATCGGATCGGTATTGGTCCGTTAGAGCGTGATAGACTTGATTCTAGCCACGATCGTAATCTTACACGTTATTCTTTGCGAGTAGTCTTGGAGATTGTCGTGTTCCTAGTCGGCAGTTTGTCGGAGTATATGATGAATTTAATATAAGCTGTAACGTTATCTGATTTATGAAGTCAACGACGTAGTTTCACAATGTTAGTCCCACTGAATCGTGCTGTGATTCGTAAGTCCAACGAAATCGTTAGATCCTTCCACCACTGTTAAGTTCCCTGTTTGCTGTGTAGCGTTCGGTCTTCCGGGAGTTGAAGTATTAAGTCCAGTGATTCCTGTAGTCAGTGCATGATATTGGCCGGAAGTTGTAATATTGACCGAATTTAGATTAGCAGAAGCGTTGAATACTGAACTTTCATTCGTAAGCCCAACGAAATCGTTAGATTCTTCCCCCAATATAGTGGTTCCACTAGTGAGTCCTATTTGCTGTGTAGCGTTTGGACTTCCTAGGGTTGTACTAGTATTGAGTACAGTGATTCCTGTAGTCGGTGCAGGATACTGTTCGGAGGTTGTAGTATTGACCGAACTTAGATCAGGAGTTTCTACCAGTCCCAGAAAATTAGTCTCGTTAGAAGCGTTAAATACTGAATTTTGATTTATGAGTCCTGTTTGCTGGATAGCGCTTGGTCTCTCGGGAGTTGTAGTATTGAGTGCAGTGAGTCCTGTAGTGGGTGCCGAACTTAGATCAGCAGTTTCTGCCAGTCCCAGAATATTGGTCTCGTTAGAATCGTTGATTTCTGAACTTTGATTCGTAAGTCCAACGAAATCGTTAGATCCTTCCACCAATGTAGTGTTCCCACTAGCGGACCCTATTTGTTGTGTAGCATTTGGTCTTCCGGGAGTTGTAGTATTAAGCCCCGTGAGTCCTGTAGTGGGTGCCGAACTTAGATCAGCAGCTTCTGTCAGTCCCAGCATATTGGTCTCGTTAGATGCATTGATTACTGAACTTTGATTCGTAAGTCCAACGAAATCGTTAGATCCGTCCACCAATGAAGTGGTCCCACTAGTGAGTCCTATTTGCTGTGTAGCGTTTGGACTTCCTAGGATTGTACTAGTATTAAGTCCACTGATTCCTGTAGTCGATACGGCATTTTCGTAGTAAGTATTTGCCGAACTTAGATCAGCAGATTCTGCCAGTCCTGGAATATTGGTCTCGCCAGAAGCGCTGATTAAAGAGCTTTGATTCGTAAGTCCAACGAAATCATCAACTCCTTCCACGATGGTTGTGTTCCCACTAGTGGACCCTATTTGCTCTGTAGCATTTGGTGTTCCGGGAGTTGTAGTATTAAGCCCCGTGATTCCTGTAGTCGGTACCGGATATTGGTCGGAGGTTGTAGTATTGACCGAACTTAAATTAGCAGTTTCTACCATTCCTAGCATATTGGTCTCGTTGGAAGCGTTGAATACTGAACTTTGATTCGTAAGTCCAACGAAATCGTTAGATCCGTCCACCAATGAAGTGGTCCCACTAGTGAGTCCTATTTGCTGTGTAGCGTTTGGACTTCCTAGGATTGTACTAATATTAAGTCCACTGATTCCTGTAGTCGGTACGGCATTTTCGTAGTAAGTATTTGCCGAACTTAGATCAGCAGATTCTGCCAGTCCTGGAATATTGGTCTCGCCAGAAGCGCTGATTAAAGAGCTTTGATTCGTAAGTCCAACGAAATCGTCAACTCCTTCCACGATGGTTGTGTTCCCACTAGTGGGCCCTATTTGCTGTGTAGCCCCCTCACTCTCTTTTTCACGAAAGCATAACTCATCAACCCCAAGTTCGCATGAATTTCTAGTATTACTGCTTGTATTTATTATTACAGCGAGCTCTATATAGTCGCTGCTCCTCACTGAGACGCCGTTAAAGTCCTCTTTTTTTCTTATCGAATTTCTCCACTTTTCAATTTCATTGCATTATCCAATAACTACAACTAACACGTTCAAATGCATACAAAGCACGCTGCGAACTTAATTCAATTTGTGGTAATAAAAATTCGAAGGATACACACATTCACAGAGTTACATGCAGTGCATACCGCAAAGGCACTCCCATGTCCCCGGCCAACGAGAAGTGCGAACTCACAAGTGCAATAATAAAATACCGCTATAAATGGTCTACATTTATGATTTTTTCATTTATTCGCTGCTTCAATAGCTTTTCAATATTTTCAATTTACACCAAATTCACATTTTAACACTCCAAATATGAAACGCAGAAACGTTTGCAAGCTTTATAACCCGCTTCTTGAAACAGCTTTATGCCCTTTATGCAATGCATTTAAGGCAGTTGGGTCTTTTCACCTTCCAATCTACCACACAGTTAATATTACTGCCTTACCATTCAGCATTTTGTTACTTCCTTCATTGTTGTTGTATATACCAAAGTCGGCTATGAATGTCGGCCTTTGTATTGGCTTTTGTATTTGACAGTTGTTAAAAGCACGTGTGAAAGGCGTAAAATGTCATTAACAATGCATAAAAGTGTCTGACGGTGTTGTATTGGTTGCGGCGAATTAAAATATATGCCTTTGTATTGGAATAATTGTTTGAATGAAGTAAATTTGTTTTTTAAATCTGCAGTTCAGTGAGTCTTTTAATCTGTTAAATGACTGTTGGTTCTTCCAAGCTGCCAAGTTGGCATCGCTGGGCCATGTCAAGTCACTCTTTGTTGCATTCCCGCACGCAGAAATATCGAAGGAAACGAGGCAGCTGTAGACATTGTAGGTAAGGCTGCCCAATCCGCTCTGCTTTCAGGCTAAAAGCACTATTTTTTCCTTTAACCCGGCTTACGAACACACGGCGATCTGTGAAAACTTCGACTTTACACCTAATGAAACGGACCCAATCCGATTAAATTCTTCCCTACCTACACACATCCTTTTAAGTGGAGAATAGCTGCATTACAGTCTCTGGAAGAGCTGTTCATAGAAAATATTCACGGATAAGTCGAAGTTGGAAGGTAGAGTTGGAAGACATCTTGCAGCATCCTGTGGTTTGCTTCTGTATAGATGGGCTTTTAGTCGGCTTAGTGAGCATTGGGCTGAAACCTCAACACGCTAAATTCGAAAGTTCTTCTGGTCGGTAGTCGACAGCAGGTGGTCAAATAAGTCTTTCTAACTGACAAAGCACTAACTCTTGGAGCTCTGACCGAGCACTTTCCAATACGAACCCATACGTAGTTGTTTGTTCGTTGGTGCCTTAGAATCATCTCACCATCTCCTCAGCTGCCCTAAATACTTTCGTACAACTATTGTTGAATAAATCGGCTCGCATGCCATTAATACTACCGTGGAAATTTCTGAAGTAGTCCACAGCCTCCAAAAGAACTTTATTTTGAGCACTCAGAGCTTTAGTGAGATGCAGATTACTTGCAGTTAGCGTTTCAAGAAAACCTATTTAGTGGTAACGTGATGGACAATACAAGAATAACCTTAGGGAGACACTCGCAGGTCTATTACCTGTTGAGGAATGTAATGTGAGATCTATTGTGCCTTCTTGCTCCTCACCGCATATCCGCCAGTCCTAGCACCCTTCGGAAATTCAGCAGATTTTTATGTGACATAGTGATGATTTGGCTGGTTTAGCGACCCGAGGTATTTTTCATTTGGTCTGCGGTTTTATTGGTATTGTGCGGGGTCGAGGCCTATTGGTGTTGTTGCTGTCGCCTCCCTGGCGAGCCTGTCTGCTTCTTAATTTCCCTCTAAGTCTTTGTGGCCTGGGACCCATAGAAGGAAGGAAGATCCTGTTGTACACTGCTAAGGCATTCACTCTCTCTACGCAATCGAGAACCAGTGCTGACTTGATTTCATAGGAATGAAGAGCCTTGAGTGCGGTTTGGCTTTCAGGATATTTTCACTGCAAAATCTTCGCTGAAGGTTAATCGCTATACACAGACTGTTGGTCAGCTCCAATGCCCTGTGGTGTTTTTGAGCCGTCTGTGTACTAAATTAANGTGCCTTCTTGCTCCTCACCGCATATCCGCCAGTCCTAGCACCCTTCGGAAATTCAGCAGATTTTTATGTGACATAGTGATGATTTGGCTGGTTTAGCGACCCGAGGTATTTTTCATTTGGTCTGCGGTTTTATTGGTATTGTGCGGGGTCGAGGCCTATTGGTGTTGTTGCTGTCGCCTCCCTGGCGAGCCTGTCTGCTTCTTAATTTCCCTCTAAGTCTTTGTGGCCTGGGACCCATAGAAGGAAGGAAGATCCTGTTGTACACTGCTAAGGCATTCAGTCTCTCTACGCAATCGAGAACCAGTGCTGACTTGATTTCATAGGAATGAAGAGCCTTGAGTGCGTTTTGGCTTTCAGGATATTTTCACTGCAAAATCTTCGCTGAAGGTTAATCGCTATACACAGACTGTTGGTCAGCTCCAATGCCCTCTGGTGTTTTTGAGCCGTCTGTGTACTAAATTAGACGGTGCAGCTGGGAGTATTTTTGGATGTTAGTATCAGTCTAGCTTGCTTTATTCCCTAATTCTGTTTTAAAGTTCCTTTCGAAGCTAATAACTCTGCCGACATCATCTCGTGGGAATCCTCTACCCCACCGTTCTCTGGTGCAGTTTGTTAGAGTTTATTTTGCTACCTCCTCCATGCTAATGAAATAATTTCTTGACGTATTTGCATTCGAATGGAAGTCTTATTTCATTGTGTTCCAATCATTATTGCTGTAAGAACCTTCTATGGTACTTGAGATGCCTAAAACTCGAAAAGAGCTGAGGTTAGAAGGATCGCAGCCATATTTTCTTCTTCATTTAACATTAGTCGTACGTGGTTGGAGTCGTAAGGCGACTGCCTTTTCCAGCACTCGTTATCAAACATATACATATTTACATTTAGTTTTCTTCCTTTTCGCCTTCTTTACATTTCTTTATCCATCCTTTGTCCACAGCCCTCGCGCAACGCTTCAAAATTCATTAGCGTAAAACTGTCGAAACCACACCCACTGCACTAGATGCGCATCATTTTCGCCTTAAATTGTGCAACATTTAGCGTGATAAGCGAGTGCTCTTGGATCATTATGCTCACTCTCTCCCCAGCTGTACTCACCATTCACTTACGAGCCTCACAACCATCACTATGGTGGACACTCAAAGCATTATGATATTGTTTTGTGCAAAAGACTTTGGAGGGTTGAATTTTTTCAATGAAATTTGTTCCCCTCTACGCGTAACTTATGTAGGCTCATTAGCCTTTCTCACTTAACGCTTATCGCTTTAGATTTCTGTTGGCTGCTTTTATTTCACTGCCACTTTTCTTGACCTTTTGACATTTTTTGCTTTGTATTGCTGGCCCTTAACGGAAAGTGTCATTTTCAAAAGGAAACACACTCGTTTCGACCCCCACTCACCTAACGCAGTCTTGTCATTAGCGCCGACACTCGACAATGTTAAAGCGTGCTAAAAATTTATGAGTGCAACCCAGTCTTTCGACCTTTGTCGTAAATCAGATAATACTCCTAGATGGAATGCTGATAAGAAGGTTAACAAAAGTATTTCAACTGAAAATGTCGCTAAAGTCAAATGAAAAAGTTTCTCTTTGATAATTTATTCGTTAATTTGAGCATGGCTATTTTAGTTGTACAATTAAGCTGGTGTACAGCTATTTGAAAAAAGGCAATTCATAACCGCGCCAATCAGCCAACCAATTGACATAGTTAACGTCCAGATCTTCGCTGAATACCTCAACGCATTTCCATAGCTACGGTTACATTTCCCCTCCAAGCACACTTGGCAGCCTTCTAAAGCCTCTGCGCCGTACTTGTCTGCCAATAGAGCACAAGCGTTCTGTTCCGGTCGCATTGCCACACAACCTTTGTTGATTTGCACCTTATTTTTGCCTGGAAATTATCAAAAAATAGATTTAATAAAAATCGTTGAAAAACAAAGCAAGCCTTACCTTTGACGCGCACGCTGTAACATTTATAAGTTATGTTTCCCATCTTCATTCTTGCTAGGTCTCCTATTTTGTTATATTTGTGTTGTAAAAGCTGCCTTGAGCTTCGTCTCAATGAATTTTCATGCGTTGGTCTAATTACTCTCTCATCGTTAGATCCTTCAACTAATATAACGTTCTCGCCAGTAAGTCCTGTAGTCGGTGAAGAATTTTGGTAGGGAGCATTTGCCGAA